GCCTTGCCAGAAAGGCATAGCATATTATTACCACGCTCATTGTTTTGTTATCAGCCATTAGATTAGTTGCACTCTGTCGCTTTTTATTTTCGTAAACACATGACCGCGATGGTTTGCAACCGCAGCATTTATGTGGGACCTTACATTTCATTAGTGGCCATACTTTGCGATCCATGATATTAGCACAATTTTAATCAATCAATCGATCATTTATTTTTCACTTCAGGAAGTAGAGGGCATGGGAAGAAAAAGCTGTTGCGAGCTTGACCAGGCTTCCCAGCCGATTACAGTTCAGCATGCAGCGCATACAGAAAGCAGTGTACATAAGTATAAACACACAGAAAGCATACATTATTCTACACACAATAAAAAACATCAAAAATAAGTTCGAAGCCTGAATTTTAGACATCAGCTCACCAAAAAAGCATGAAGTGCAGACTTGCAACAATAAATGTCAAAATCATTCTGTGATAACACAGAGGTTTAACACAGAGAACGAGGTTGTTCTTAGCATCTGGGCCCCGTAATTTGTGCGCTGTGTTCTTGTTTCGTACTTTCTCATAATCATAAGGGATACGAAGAAAAATATTCAGCTGATTCTGCCAAATCTGCAAGCACTGTAATGTTGTTGTTTACTTCATATTCATATCTAAGAACAAGGCGTAAGTTATACGTGCTGAAAACCGTAGGAATATCGGCAGTTTGGAAGAGCTGTGCTGAATGGCGATCTCTGGCTAAGTTATAAATGATGCGTAAAGCTTTCTTTTGTAGGACGTAGAGCTTCATTGAGGATGTGCGCGTGCCAGTTCCCCACACAAGTTGGCAATAATTCACTTGATACATGAACAATGATTTGAAAAGCAACAATTTCATATTAGTTGGACTGAATTTGCACTGAATATCACGAATGTACAGAAAACACGTCTTGCTTAACTAGACGAATGCATGAATCGGAAATGAATACACTATAGGATATTCGCTCGGAGTGAAAACCTCGATTCATGAAAGGAGCTATTAAAGCAAACTGGTGTTTTACTGTTTGCTAGCCTGAATCTCACTTTCCTGACATAAATACAAATCTTTGTAATTTAAGTTTAACTGACTTTCTAGGTTAAAGTTGAAAAAGTTGAAATGTTTTCTGGATCTGAAATTACGTTGGCTAAGCTGAAGAAAGTAGTAGAGCACACAACTGTTATTCCTTTAAGATAAAGGAATATATTCCTAATGAAAGAAACGCAGAGCTGGAAGCAGGGGGAGGGGAGGGGGAGGAGTGAGTTCACGGAGCCGACAAGTGCCTTCGCTATAAGGCATGGGATTTAAGCAGTGCCGCCCTGATTAGAGAGCTTTGATAGATTCTCTCGTCTTTTTGCGAATCTAATTAGGCTGATGGTCAGCGTTCGTTCTTCTGTTTTAAAACGTCGCGCTTTTGCATGTTCTTCCTGTTGACCTAGTGCACGAAGTAATTTGTCAAAGCGTAAGAGAACAGAAGACGGAGGTATTAAGTGTCCTCTCTTGCATGAATTTATCTTTTCTCGCTAAGACAGGGGTGCTTTAGCGGAAAGCTTATAAATTTTCTGGTGACTTTGTTTCCAAGAGTACACGTGGCAGATCAGGGCCGCAATCCATTTCGTGGGCTAATTACGGCTGAACTAACATAGACTTAAGCAGGCCGCCAGGCACAACGAGGGCTATTTGCTTGCGAAATTCGCGCATTGTTGCAAGTTATCGAAACGGGCGTAATTTAGGCGCGCTTTCTGAATGATTTTCCCTCCTTTTATCAAGTACATACGTGTCGCGCTCCACGTTCCGTATTTCTGGGACAAGTTAAAAATGTACCGTGCAATTGCCATTATTTGCTCTTCTCACTTCGTAAAGAACATAGCAGGTGGTGCAAGGGACGCAGTTCGAGCGCATCCGGAGCTTGTTAGACACTTTCTCTATTCACTTCAACGATAAAACTCGGAACTTGTTTTAGCGCATGGTATAATGCCTTTGGAATACATAGGTCAAACATTTTCCATGTTCATCTGACTCTTCGATGTTACACTTTTTACGCTGCAAGGCTGTTTGTTTATGTTGCTTCACAATAAGCGAAATCTGCTATTTATTTATTGTGAATATATACTAAAACGATTGTGTTGCTTATAGCCTCAAGTACTCGCTTCACCCTATAGCTCTTGTATTTATTGTAAGTAAAATGCGGGGTTGTCGTTGCAATAATAGTTTTCTTTTTAGTTTTCACTTAGTACATTTGACGGAGCCTAAACGCCGGAGGTCCGTGTGCCTAGTTTGAGGCGCACGTTGAAGAACCCCGGGCTGTTGAAATTTCCGGAGCCCTCTATGGCGTCGTCTCTCAGAATAATTTCGTGGGTCTCTTTCGTGGCTCTCATAGTCATTTCAGCCTCTCTCTATCTAAACTAATGAAATAATTAAATTATCAATCAATCAATTAATCATTCATTGAGTCGACATAATATTAACAGCTCATTTACTTCACTTATACAAGGGCGCCCCCTTACCAACTCCTTTAAGAAACACGTCGGTATCGTTGCGGGGATGACATGCTTGATCTGCGGGGTTGCCGTCGGGGGATACTTTGCGCCAAATCGTCTAATTTATGACGTTGTCTGGTGCCGAAAATTTCAAAATGGCGCCATGGTTATTTTCTGGCTACCTTGAACTTCTGTTCTGGCGCATTTAGTAGCCATTTTTATTACCTGCAAACAAAAATAACGACCAAGCCTAACGGTTCCGCTTTGTTTCTAAGCTTTTTTGACGCGTCCATTGGTGCATGCGCACGTCCCCCTCAACAGTGGGGGGAGGAGGGGGGAGGAGGGCTCATTGGGGCACCTTAATGCAACCCGCAGCACGCCTGGGAAGATGGGGGAATGAAGTGCTTGTTCGCCCCGTCAGCGGGGCTCACACCGAGTGTGAGGGACTGGCTGAGAATTTGATGGTTTTATAAGTTTCAATAAAATCTAAAAGGGGGGAAATAGTACACAACATAACTGGCAAATTATAGACGAAATCTAAGTGCACATTTTGGCTGTCACAGTGAAGATGTTGCGCGAATGTTGGTGAAAGCGGGGCTTATTGGGGCTTTGTTCATCATCGATGCTGACACTACGAGCCAGTTTAGAATGCTGATTTAGAGCGTGTGTTCTCGTTTGAACGTAATTAGTAGAAAAACGAGCAAGAAAATCAACTTGACATGGTCATCATCAACAACATATCATTATTCCTTAAGCCGCACGAGTAATGTGGTAACTACTAAACATTTTACCTCGGAGCGTGTTTATACGATCTATGTTTCAACTGAATCTTTGGCTGGACTGTTCTAATCTTATACTCTGTCTCGACAACTACTTGTGCTGCATGGAATACGTGCAGACGCTTGGAACTTGTTCATTCATCTACAACTTGCAGAATTATATGGCCTAAGAACCACCAACAGCAGAAAAGAACTGCTATTGTTTCTATTCGATTGCTGATTGCAAATTGCATGATTCATTTTTCTGCTAGTATAGGTCTTTTCGTGTAGGTCTTTTCGAGGCATGCCATATTAGAAGACATAATCGCTTTTGCTAATCCAATATGGTGAGAATTCCGCCTAGCCGACGCCTTTTGTTGATATTCAATATGGTTTTGTGGCTTTCGTGTTGTACATACCTTGACCAGTCTTACAGTTACACGTAGTCTTTGCTCACTTGCTGGCTCTCGTGCACATGGTGAAGACGGGAAGTTGAGAGTTCATGAAGGGTACTTTCTGTGAACCGAACCGAGTCATGAGTCGGTCTGTTATTGTATCGCCCTTTGGCGTTTTCTCTAATCGAGTTATGCATCCAAGTTGACTTGTTCATTCTGCTTTCTTCCGCAGTCCGGTTATTCGGATAACATATTAGTGGCTTCCGACTATTAGAATTTGTGTGGCAGGCACTTTTTCTTGGGGAGTGGTTTGCAGAAGTTGACTCTCGCTTCCTTGTTAGCGATGACATTGAATTGTTTGTGTAGATAAAAAAAATGGACGCAAACGTGAAGCACATGTATAAATTTACGTAAGGTGATGATCCCTCGAATTGTATTCCGTTATCAAACGTCGCGCAAAAGACACAGAAAAGGAGAACACAAACGCAGCGCTGTGTTTGGGTTCTCATTCTCTGTGTCTTTTGCACTACGTTTCATATTGAATATTACCAACTCACCCAGCATGACACCCTTCTAATTATATTCTAAGCACTTTACACAACTAACGCCGACAGTACAGCATTTTTTCTTTACTTTCACTCTTTGCCTCGTGAATTCTAATCGAAGAACTATATTTTTCTACGACGGAGGCACAACTAATTTTTAGGAAATTATTTGGGTTTATGCACTGTTCAACGTTCGCAAGTGAAGCCTACGCCCAAGTTCCAAGTTGGGCGGATGCGCATTCTACACTTTTAAGAATACGATGCGTGTGTTGTTTGTCGACGGAAATTCACACTTGGCGCATTATACGTCAGTGATATTCTCACTCTTCAGCTACGTACGCCGGCAGGAGGGGGTGGTGATGTGAAAAACTTAGTAAAAGTATGGACAGAACAAATATTTGAAACAAAAAAACAAATGCCAGTCTTTGCGATAAATGGACAGCCTCGACAGTCAATATAAAATATGAATATGAAAATATGAAGAGAAAAGAACACTTTTGGGCAAAGTAAGAAGGGTCAAAGTTTATCTAATAAAACCAATAGTGATAAATGCGAAAAAGATCTGATTTAGAAGGAAATCATTGTAGCCTGTGTATTGTGGCTTGTTTATACGCTCTAGTTACATACATTTGCTGCTGTTCTTAGTTTTATGCGCAATCGAGAAAAGCACGATTTACTTGTTCGCGATATTTTTTCCATTCTTCTTAAAGCCGGATAAATTATTGTAAAACCGCACAACTGGAAATCGCTGTTGAAATCTGTAATTTTTTTATTAAAAAAAAAAACAATGAAAAATTCTTTCTGCGTGTATGTACAATCTTCGGGCCTTGCATTTTTTTAACAACGTGGTACTTTAACGTCCTGAATTAGTTGGGCGGTGTGAGAGATTCTTCGGATTCCTTGCGTCGCCTGTACTCCCTTAGCTTCTCCAGGACGAGTGAAGGTCGCGGTGCGCCGGGCTCTCTGGGAACGTGTGATGCGGCGGGGGTGTTCAGGCGTTCGATGAATGTGCTCACGATCCCCTTGGGTCCGACGGCCTCGCTGACCAGCGGCAGAACCAGGCCGGGCGCACTGTCCGAACAGTCGGGGTACAGATGCGCGCACACGTTCTTCTCAAGGCCTCGGGACCAGGCGGCGAAGTAGGCGTTTTTCGGGTGCGGCCTTCCCCTGTCGAAACAACGTACGGTGCAGGAATGTGAAACGGGTGGGTTCAAAGACCCTCCAGGAAAGAAATATAGATTTTAGCACAACGAAAATGACAGTGGCACTAAAGAGAAACAAAACGATCTTTGCTCGTATTGGTAAACTGCGATTTCAAAATACCGGAAGCACCCCTCTTACCTTGAGAAGGCTCATTTTTTATAACAACAACAACAACAACAACAACAAAAAACAAGCAATAATATTGATAATGCAGGAGGCAACGCTTACCATGACGTCATATAGTTTGATGGCGTCTGCTATAGTGCCTATATTAATCGTGTATCTTTAAAAATTGTCTACACTTTAAAGGAGCAAAATGTCACGGCATAGCAAGTTTCAAAACATTTAGTTCAACAGACATGGCCAATATTAGCAAAATGCCTTGGGAAATTCACGACGTCAGAATGGCGCTAATGTGCTGAAGCTTTAGCGCGGAATTCAAGCATAAGATCTTGAGATTCACTTCCTTGTTATTAAGTTAAAGTGGCGAAATCTGTGACAATAAAGTTGTGAAAGAATCATTTGTTTATCTGTACCACTGCTATGTTACACTGTAGTGTCTCCTTAAAAACAAACAAAAACAATCAAAAGAATATAGGTATCATCTGAACACTTGCTCGCTACTTCAAAGATAGCGCTGAGCGGAGCCGTGCAACATATACTGGGCCTATGTTGGCGTCTAAGAGTTCACGCGTCGGGCGTTACTGTGAGAAGAATTGCTTTGCACTATTCAGGGCTGGGTGTATGGCGTAGTGCTCTCTGTCTCCTAAGATTAATTCCTTCCTCCTCGTAAAATACAGTCAGCGGCGCGGTGACTGCGAAGTGCGGCTATTAAGAATATATCACGTATCATTGCAGAGGTCACGACTGATCGTATATATGCTGTGCGATTTTGTTGGGGCTTGAAATCAACACGACCAGCACTGTAAACACAGTCTAGAACTTGCTAAGATCAAACCTTTGCTTTGTCGAGATATTCTGTCCGTATACCAGCACGTCGTAGTCATAGTCTTAGCGATGAGAGGCTAGCCAGAATCGAACATATTCCATTAGTGCTACTGACCTCACTGTTAGGTGGCGTGGTCACTTCAACCTGGCTTCGCCACCCTCACTGCATGGGGATTTATTTTATTCTTTATTCAATGATTACCCCGCTTAGCCCGAAGGCGCTGCAGCAGGGGGGTTACAATGTCAAGAAAAACACATCTTCATTAATACAGCACCTTTGTTCATTTGATAAGCGATTCCATTCTCTAATGGAACGAACAAAAAACGAATTAGCCTACAAATTAGATCTAGGTACGGTACTCTGAAATCTTGAAACAATGATCATTTCGCGAAGAGATATAAGGAGGACTGTGAAGGTACTTTTCTTTTCGTATGCCGGTTTTACAATGAAGTATTTGGTACAGGAGCTTTAGCCGCAGTTTCTTTCGACGCGATGAGAGTAGCTCTGATCGTGTTGCTGCTCTGATCGTGTTGCTGAAGGGAATTACGTCTTACAGCTGTAAATGTTTTTTAGTCGAATGCCTTGGATGGCTCGTTAAACGCGCGAATCGGCCATCCGTGCCGTCAATATGAACGATGCAAAAAATTAACACGTAGTGTCATACTGACATCACATACCATGACGTCACACGATGACGCCAGACGTGACAACGTCGCTTGGTCAAGTGTGAACTGAACACGCAGGCAGTGCAAAACCATGTGATGTGCAGAAAGCTTGCTAGGTTTCCCATCTTGAAGGCAGTGCATGCAATTGTACCTTAAGTGGAGAGACTTTGAGAGGTTGGCGCGGGAGCATCAACACATCGACTGAGAAAAAAAAATAACTTGCACCTTCGACTTCACTTTAAAGCGACACTACAGATAAACAATGACTTAATTTAGAGTGATAAGTTGCATTCTAAGAATTCTAATGCCACAACTATTCCTGCAATAAGTTCATTACTAGCGGTGGAAATTGAGGTTGAAGACTAGTTTTTCAATTTCGCGCCGAAATTGCCGCGCGTCACGTAGGAAACTCGAAAATGTATTTTCCGTTTTTCGTGACATTGGCTGCATGAAAATTTTCAAAACTGGATGAAAATTTTCTGGATGAAAATTTTCAAAAGGACATTGTTGTACATGCACTTTGCATGTACTACAATGTCCTTCAATTTTATTGATTAGAAAGTACGCAGGACTTAGTAGACGCCTTCAAAATTTATGACGTCAGGGTATTTGGTGCGGGAGTCTCAAGATGACGCCTCCACTCACATTTTCTTTTCTCGCGTTATCTCGTTTACCAAGCGTCGTGTAGCGGTAAAAGTGGTGCTTGCGGGTTTGTAAAACTGTACTTCACTAATACGCGAACAATCGTCTTGCTCTTTGGTGTCCATTTAAAGTGAGTGCACAAGCTTTTACGAACACTCGTATACATATAAATTACAGGAATTTTCTTGCAGAACGAACTCGCACATGGGCTCTTTTTTCCCACGAACTGTACGTGAGTGGAATCGCCTCCCTGGTGAGATTGTGAAGGCGGCGACAGTGGGGTCATTCTTATCGGAGCTAAAAAAACCTATAGCATGTCTTCCTGCCATATTTGTACTCTTTGTTTTGTGACGTCGCGTTGTTAGTACAGAGTGATGTTAGTGCGCACTTATATAGGTATTATGCTATGCGCGATCGCATGTCATGCACTGTATATTTTTCTTTTTACCACGTTAAAACCTGTGTGTCCGCGGCATTCTCTGTGCGTAATATATTGCGAAAATGTTAAGTGTACTATATTTATATGTTACCCACTATTGCTTATGGCTTCACTTTGAAGCCAGCAGAAATCCTGTAAATAAACAATAAATAAACAAAGATGAAGGTCACAGTGTCTTACTTGATGATTTCCTTCCAGAAACCGGAAATGGGAAGCATGTCGGTGAGGCTGCGAGCTGCCTCGCACATGATTCGCTTCCGGCAGCCGGCGCTCACGGCCGCTGCGACAGGCCGCCTTGTTTGGTGGGGCGTTGATAGATTTTCACCTGACAAGTTCTGCTCTCTCTCGGGTAGCGAGGCAGTGACATGCCCTCCGCCGACTTCGAGGTAAAATTGCGGCCGGGTGGACCCTTCCTTATCTGTGGAATAAGCGAGCACAAGATCAGCGAATACAAAGTTTTCTTCAAAATTGCTTGGTACTATCTACCACTTCTAACTTGCTCCTACAGCACGCATGAGACGGCAGTGCTCACAGTATCGTTAGCTCGCACATACTCTTCCTGTAACTGTGATCTATGAACGAAAGAAGAGAACTTTTTTCAAGAGGATAGTTACTTTCTTAGACAAAACTAAATGTACTCAAAATACAGTTAAGTCAAAGGGAGCATAGGGGAAATTCATGGTTGTATTTGACTGTAATCTAGTAATTAGTACATAAACGAAAATGAAATAAAGGAAATGAAAAGTCACAATTTTCTTCGGTGGGGCCAAACGAACAGTCCAGTCATCTAATTGGAACGTTGTGGGTTCGGATCAATATGCATTGAACAAATGTAAGGAACCTGCAAGATAAAAGTATGCTGAAGGAGCTTGCTTTTTTATTAAAATAAAAATAAATGAAGAGTTCTCGCCATGTTTTGCAAATAGCTATCGCATTCTCGCAGCCCTATTGTTAGCGGTATAAAAGTCATGAAAACATAACATAACCTTGAAGTCGGTAAGTTTGAGAGTAACAGAAGTACCGGGCTGCTAACACAACCTACCAATATGTGGTACACGCAGTTGCATGCATTCGAGAATTTGCATAGCAGCAATAAAGTCAAGTTACAATGTGCTGCATTGCACTTTCTTATTACAGCGTATGCAAAACAGGTTGATTTACTAAGTTCACGCTGATGAGCGGTGCGCCTTACAAAAAAAAAGAAGAAAATAAATCGAACAGCTTCAAAGAAAGACACAGTGTAGAAGAAACAAACATGAGCTCACGTGCGCTGGTGACGGTAAGCCAAGTGACAAGTGCGGCGCAGACGAAATACCATGTTGACGCCATGCCTGTGCGACAGGCCCGTGATGTCTCCACTGATCGTTGATCACGGAACTCCTCCGCTTCTGCTGGACGGGGCGCAACTTGTAGCTTGGGCGACGCGTTGATGCAGTGAGCTGCAAAGAAGCGTCGCTCTCGCGTTCCTCCCGAAATTTCGTCTCAAGTGAAGCCCGGCCGACCGGCAGAGTGTCCTTTTATACGTACGTCCTGCTTCTGAGGGTGACTCATACGCGATGGCTGCTGGTCACGAAATGAACCGAGAAAAACGATGCCTTGCCACCTACACAAAGCCAACGTGCAGATATAGACAAATCCGTGCTCGAAGACTTTTTCGGAAGATATGGCTCCGCGGTTTTCTCAAGCCTCTTTAGAGAGCGTAGACCTTTTTATCGCCCGTGATTCGCGATTAGTGGGTAACTTGCTGCAGTTTGGAATGTTCTTTGACCCTGCGGCAGTGGCATGCCACGGCTACCAAAGGGAACGCGCCAATACCTAAGTAGCAATATATACGTGTTTCCGCGTCAGTGATTCACCGCGCAGGTGAGATTGTGCCGCTCCTTCTTGTGGGTAGGGTCGCGGGGGTGACTAATCTCTTCACGAGCGAAAGAAGGAAGTTGGAGGGGAAAGGGTGAAGCGGCTTCGCAGCATCGACGCTATTGACCGTGACTAACGGCCCCCCTGGCTTCTATATGCACTTGGAGATATCAAAGACAAAACAAACAAACAGAAGCCACAACTACTATCCCTTTGCCGAGACTGTTCTTTGAATGTGCCTCTTTCTCGCGCATATCTGCTCGGACTTCGAACCTCTGATGGTCAAGTCGACTTCAAGAAGAAATGAACACGATATGTGGCAACTTTTTTTCTGCAACCTATCAATATTAAGTCGTAATACAGGTGTTACACGTATGATAAAGTTGTTTCCCTAATTGTTTGAAAGGACCCAGAAATAGAAACAGAAATATCATCTCTTGTGCGCCAGAGGAACTTTTGGTGCGTAAGAAAGTTGGCTACACGCGGGTCACTTGAGTGATTTGGTTTGCTTAACCGAATAAGCATTCTGAAGACCCCACGAAAAATCGATTTGTCGTCAGTCATATTCCATATATCTTTTGCTACAGTACATGCAGATTTATTATGTGACACAACTAGCTATAAAATAAACTTCTGACCATTAATCAAGTACATTGCTGTTTAATTAACAGTCTGCCTCTGTAGTATAGTGGTTACGATGGCCGCTGATAGGAAATTCACGGGTTGGATCCTGGCTGCAACAGTTGCATTTTGGATGTATCATTGATTACTATGTGGGGTTTAACGTCCCAAAACCACCACGATTATGAGAGACGCCGCAGCGGACGGCTCCGGAAATTTCAAATATCTGGGGTTATTTAAGGTGCACCCAAATCTGAGCTGACGGGCGCACATTTTCGCCTACATCGAAAATACAGCCACTGCAGCCGGGATTCGATTCCGCGACCTGCGTGTCAGCAGCCGAGTACCTTAGCCGCCAGACCGCCGCGGCGGGGCGCATTTTAGATGTAGGCGAAATGCAAGAGTCCATGCAGAGTGCGATGCCATAGATTCCGTTAGGGAACACCTGAATAATAGTATTAGCTTATATAGCACAAATAAGGACTTATATATATATGCTAATTATTCGTGATTTGTTTAAGTGTGGCACTCCGTGGTAGCCAACTTCTGATAGGACAAGTGAAGGAAAAAAAAATTTCACGTATAGGGTTAACATTATTGAATGAATTGATGCGGCAGAAATGTTTTCTACAATTTTATGCTGAATGCTTATATAGTGACGTCATGATTTGTATGGTGTAACGATTTCATTGGCCGCTGACAAAGCAGCCTCCGGAGCGTATAACACCGACAATGCGGCTTTACGTGCGATGCGTGAGCGCTCATGCGTGACGTCATTTCTGCCTGAATGCTGTACCCACATAAACAAACGACCAATGTTTGTTAAAAAAGCAAGCGTATATAAGGCGTCAACAGAAGAAGACACACCGAAGACATTAAGCGTGTTTCGCTTGATTGGTTCGAGCGCTCCTTTCGATATGGTAAAGCAACTAAACCTGGAAGAAGTAACTTTGACCTGCGCCAAATCCTTTTCTATTCTTTGTAGCTGATGCACAGCCCGACGAAATGGGAGTTCATGAACCATTCGCAAACTTTTTGCTCCCCCCTCTTCCCATTCTAATCTATGGACGGGAAGCATTTCGTGAAGAACAGAGCCGACCTCGGAAATCTGTAGTGGATCCGGTTTTGCGTACACATGCAAATGTCGAGAAAAGGGCTGAAATAGTGCCTCGAAGATACGCGTTATTTAGCAAGTGTGATGGCTAGAGGCGAAATGGTACTTATGTCCGTGTGTAGCAGCGGGTGTGCGGAGTGCAGATAATTTGCATGGTGCGAATAAGACTGGGTGCTTCAAACGTTTGAGGAGATTTTCAAAACGCTTTTCTGGAACCCCAAGGGGTAGGTTCTTCGCGAAAACGACAGCGAAAATGAGACCTCGGGAGCCGCGCCAGTTTCTTGCTATTTCCCAGGCGAACTTTTAATGTTGCCTTTTGATGACGAACACCATCTTTCATATTCGGATATTTCCCATGGCATGGGCATATTTACGATTTGCAAAAATCAGAGAGGTGGTTCTGCAAGGCTTTTTTTTTTATCAGGTACTGTACAGCTTTTTTTTTTCGCTCGTTTCTCTAACTCCATGGAAAGTAGGTCCCCCGAATAATAGAATCCACGTTTACAATGCGTAGGCTGTGGGTTAGTCAGGCATGACAGTGCCATAGTAACTCCTAATACGCGTTTGCTGCTACACTCACTGAGACTGCGAGCGGCAACAGCAAAACAAATGAGGTAAGGAATTTGTGAACGAAAGTGCTTGGTTGGAAAAAGAAAAGAACAATCGAACAGTGTAGGAAAGCTGTCCTACACTCAGTTTTGGAAACTATCAATTCCACAGAAGCGGATGTCGTCAGAAGAGTCATTATCTTTGAACGCAGCCGAATTACAGTGCGCTAAGGAGGAAGCTAACTATAACCCCCTTATTCACAAACGCTCCTCGACTTGACTTTCACCGTTCACTTGACAGAGTTGAGCACTGCGCCACAGCTCGGCTCAAAAATGACGCTGCATGCGCTACTCCAGAATCGCGGCAGATTATCGCTGATATGCAGTCACTTGCCGTGCCTAGAGACGGTGCTCCCATCGGCTTTCTCAAGTGAAGGTGAAGCGTTGAGTGAAGGGGACGTTCTAGAATGGGGGTAAGAATCTGCCAGTTCCTGAACACGCGGTTGTGATAGAAATTGCAAACGACGAACCATCATTAGCGTCTTTCTATGGACCTACCCAAACAAGATGGCGGTGATGTTCTACTTGGAAGCAATGGGTCGGCCATTTCTTGACCACTCTTAAAAGGAACTCCAAGTTTCGCACGAAATTTTCCTTTGGGAAGCGACGAATTTTTCACGTGCGTGAGAAAACTAATCTCCATCTGAATTGTGTGTCGCGATGATCGGCTAATTGCGCCTCATATTTACCGATCGTCACACGTATGTAGTTCTTAAGTGGGTAGTAGGGGACTGTAACACAAGTGCGTCAGTGTGCACACGTAGAAAGAATCGCTCGTTCCCTACAAATCTGGAGATGAAGACAGGGAAGTTGACCAGTATTTGGCATCGGGTGTGCTACCTGCACTGTATCGGGTGTGCTACCTGCACTGGATTAGGAGGCAGAGAGAGAGAAAAAAAAGGAGATAAAATAAATAATGTAAAATCAGATAGTGCACTGTCGAGGCGAGTCTAAGGTCCAAATAACTTTATATATATCAACAAAGACGTGTAGTTTGCTGGGCATTACATGAAATAATAAGCGGTACCTTTTCTTTACCCGCTTGTTTTCATACACGTGCGCACACTTTTCATGTGCTGACTGCTTCCATTTTGGTTGGGTAGAGGGCAATCGCGAGGATCGAGGGCGTAGGTTCTGGCGAAATCGCGATTGCCCTCTAGCTAACCAAAATGGAAGCGTCAGCACATGGAAAGTGTGCGCACGTGTATGAAAACAAGCGGGAAAATTGAAAAAAAAAGTAGTTTGATTCGCGACTAATAAAGTGCTTTGCCCAGACAGGTCCTTTGCTCAATCACATGTCAGACAAGTGCATGACTCGAGTTCACCTTTTTTCTCAACCTTTGCGGTGCCACGTAGTGGTTTGTAGTTTTTGTTTGTTTTGTTTTCGGATTACTTGCTGTCGTTCAATCGTGAAACGTAGGATATTTTACTAACGATAGAAATGCACATGCTTCACTTGTACTCGTTCGACATTGTATCGTGCTCGACATGAAGGCCTTTAGGTTAACAAGCTATGCCGGTTGACCAGGAAAAGCTGGCGTGGAATAACGATGACAGGATCTGTAATAGCTACTATGCTGATAAACACTTGTTACTTATAGCGGAAACCAAGTTCGTCAGTAAATTGTCCTTTCTATTTTTTGGCACTCTTCTTTTTTATTCCATGCGCCTAAGCTCTTTCCGGGGGAAATGGTTGCCTCCAAAGATGCCAGAATTGTGTTAACCGTTATCCGGCCGTATACAAAACGCGTGGATTGCAGTAAATTTTATGAGTTTGTATTTTGGAGACAAGTTCGGTAAACAGGAGTGAAGGTGTAGTTAGGAACCAGTCCCTTTTTTTTCCGCAGCACACTTGACATGGCTATTCGAGGTCTCAAACGGAAGAAACGTGGGCATCAATGGCAGTGTACTTCAATACGCCTTATTTGCTGAAGTATTCACCCTAACCAGAGGTAAGGCCGCAAAACGATCCTATATCTCGGTGGCTTAGGTCCTGGCGACATCGCGATTGCCCTCTACCCAACCAAAATGGAAGCGGTCAGCACATGGAAAGTGTGCGCACGTGTATGGAAACAAGCGGGAAAAGGGTGAATAGTTCGGCAAAGAAGGCGTATTGAAGTACACTGCCATCGATGCCCACGTTCCTTGAGTTTGCAACCTCGCATAGCCATGTCAAGTGTGCTGCGAAAAAAAAAAGGGGTGGTTTCTAACTTCACCTTCTCTCCTACTTGCCAAACACAGTCCAGTGATTTCGCGCCCTCGGAGTTATTCTTCTTCAAGGTGGGCTAACTATAGTCTAAGACATCGTTGGATTCTGCAGATATAGAACTTAAATGTGAACTTTAAGAACCGCCTCGTTGAAAAATTT